TCTTTTCAATAGAAGAAAATTTTTTACCATGTATTTAAAGAAATAAGAATTACTCTACATTAGTTACTTTTTGCCATTTTTTAGAAGAAAACATTTTTTTATTTTATTTTTAAATGATAAATCTAGAGAATAATTTATTTTTATTCTTTTTCTTTTCTTCTAAATGTGTCATCCAATCACATTTTTAGGCTGTGAATGTTTGAGGCGGGACGCGTGAGACCAAGAACATTTTAATAAATATGTCACCATTCAGCTATATTAGAAGATTGATGTACAATGCTTAATTAAAATAAAGAAAACAGTTAAATAATATAAATACTGTTAGGTGCGAGACAATTGATGAACAAAAAACTCTTCCGCATATGGTATTGAAAACACTCCCAATATGGTGTGGTTTGTACCATTGTTAATGTGGTTCAAAATAAAAAAAATTCAAAAACAATTCAATTTAAAAAAAAAATATGTGAGTTTAAAACATCACTTATATGATACTTTTTATTTTTTGGCTGACTAGATTACTCAAAATATTTTTTTTTTAAATTACTAAACATTAATAATTATTATATTTGTACCGCACTTGTATTATTCACCATTCAAACATTGTTCCGCACCACTTATTTTATACTAACCACATTTGTTCTGCATGATGCGTTTTCTCTACCTGCACCGCACTTGAACCACACCGCACCTCCTAATCCACTTGTCCCGCACCGCTCAATCTGCTGTCACCATTCGGAGCCATAATCTTTTGAAACTAGTGGCCAACCAACTTACGATGACCATATCAAACTCTTTATGTTCAAGAGCTAATCTATTAGTTTAGCGACTAAGACATTTCAACTTTTTCAGACACAAATCGGATTAAACCAAACCATGAAAGAAAAACAAAAAAAAATTAGGATCTATTTGCGGTTCGCACAATACGAAGAGTTAGATTCGCTTTTCACAAACCTTGTAAGAACAGAATCCGATTTGAAATAGCCGGTAGAACAATTGGGCTACGTAACATAAGAGAATGGGCATCTAAGTGGGCTACATAACATAACATGACAACCCTTGGAAGCAATTGAAGAAATTTCTTAAGCAAACCTATAGAGAGCATAAGAAACAAAGAATATATCTTCTTCAAAAGATGAAATAGTTGCATGCTGCCTAAACTATATAAAGTGATAAACAGCTATTTGAAGAAGGAGAATATATCACTCTTTGTATTGTCTTACAAAACTGCCTAAACCAATTACATATTGGTATTACCAAGTTCCATTTAGTGACATTATCTAACTTGTAAGCTAAAGCTTTGATCTTTCAACAAACCCACATCGATCAAATGCGACAAAGATAGAAGAA